ATTTATCACAGATTATCAATACAGAATCATATCTAAAATGGCTGAGAAATGCAAATAAGCTGACTTTAGTTACATGACTGCAAAATCACAATAGCTTCATTCTGATCAGTTTATTTGGTAACTGAAAATCTTCCAAGTGCCATACACCTTTTAAACTAAGTTATTAAGAACATATGAAAGGAAGAACACTGCAGCAGACCTATTGGCCCATACTAGGAAGGTCCTTCTCAAACCTAAACCCACTAACAAATAATACACTTAAAAGTAACAGACAGAAGCATAATACGTATATACCCTTACTAACAGTGGACAAAAAAAAATTTTTTTAGTCAAACTAAAATCAACTACCACCTTTCAATTACTGTTCAGCAAACTAATACAAGCTGTAGAACATATTTACCAGTTTAACTGCAGGGAAAAAACGATGGACAGCACTTCGTAGCATAATGGCTGCACAATTTACAGTTTGTTATATGGAGTTCTCAGGAGATTAAACTATACCATGGGAAGAAGGTTGTAGAAAATTACAAGGGACAATAAACATCATGTCATCATCCTGTAAAGAAAAAAATCATGTTACAAACACTGTACTGTAGTGTTATCATCAAAAGTCTTGACAGTATCCATAACAGTATGCAGTGCTCACTCTGTGGATAAAGAAGAGAATCTGTGACAATAAGGGCATCAATCTTTGTATGAAGCTATATTTATACAGAGTATTTAAATTCAAGTGCATTAAGTGCAATGAATGAACTTGAGGTCCATGGCCCATGTGAACTGAATAAACAGAACTGAATTTAATGTGTAAAATATAGGAATATACTTGAAGGCCTTAACTATACTGCTCCAGGCCCTGTTTTAATACTTTTTAAGGATAATATTGTACTATATAAATGAGTAAGCTGTCATCAGGTATCACTAATGGAGAAGGCATAGAGGGACAAAGGCATAAAGATGGAACAGGGAGGGAGCCTTCAATAACTGGCAACACTTTATACACATGCTCTACCTATTTACTGCTATTGTGGTTCTGTTGGTGGTTCTAAAGATCATCTTTCCTACAGCCAACTCTCAGATCTGGCCTAATAGGTTGGAAAGAAAATATTACAGGAGAGGGTGTTAAGTACTGGGAAAGAGAGGATTGGGGTGCATGCTAAGCTACTGCAAAAGACTGACCTCTGGATATGTCTTCAAGACTAGGGTTTATATACCTTTGACGAGTTCCAAGAGTTTTTCTACTCCCAGAGCCCAGCCCTGGGCCAGGCTCATTTGGTGTTTGCCTTGTCAACTAGGCTGTTGCTGCTGGGGGCCCGCCACCCCACATATCCATCACAGCCTGGTTTATAAGAACATAAGAACATAAGAACGAAGGAACACTGCAGAAGGCCTACTGGCCCATGCGAGGCAGGTCCAAGTCTCCTACCGGCTTAAGCCAATGCACCCAACCTAGTCAGGTCAGGTCACATTGACTTAAGGGAGGAACACGGCAACCGACCTGGTAGCACAAGCTATCAGGTCTAACTCACACCCACCCACATCCATCATGTATTTATCCAACCTATTTTTAAAGCTACACAACGTTCTGGCCTCTATAACGGTACTTGGGAGTTTGTTCCACTCATCCACAACTCTATTACCAAACCAGTACTTTCCTATATCCTTCCTGAATCTGAATTTTTCCAACTTAAAAACCATTGCTGCGAGTCCTGTATAGGCTAGATATTTTCAGCACACTATTTACATCCCCTTTATTTATTCCTGTCTTCCATTTATACACCTCAATCATATCCCCCCTAATTCTACGTCTTTCTAGAGAGTGCAGATTCAGGGCCCTTAGTCTATCCTCATAGGGAAGGTTTCTGATACATGGGATCAACTTTGTCATCCTCCTTTGTACATTTTCCAGAGAATTTATATCCATTCTGTAATAAGGTGACCAAAACTGTGCAGCATAATCTAAATGAGGCCTAACCAAGGATGTATAGAGTTGAAGAACAACCTGAGGACTCCTATTATTTATGCTTCTTGATATGAAGCCAAGGATTCTATTAGCTTTATTGCGAACACTTATGCACTGTTGTCTTGGTTTCAGATTACTGCTAACCAGAACTCCTAAATCTTTTTCGCAATCCGTAATATTAAGATCTACATTATTTAGTTTATATGTGGCATGGTTATTGTCCTGTCCAACATTTAGAACTTTGCATTTGTCTATATTAAACTGCATCTGCCACTTCTCCGACCACTGCATCAGTCTATTCAAATCTTCCTGGAGTGCTCGAATGTCCTCGTCAGAATGAATTCGACGGCCTATTTTGGTGTCATCGGCAAACTTGCCGATGACACCTGGCACCTGGTGAAGATACTTGTCCAGTTTCCCCTTGAAGACGTCTACACTTGTCCCAGCAGTGTTTCTGGTATCCTCTGGTAAGATGTTGAATAATCTGGGGCCACGAATGTTGATACATGTTCTCTTACTGTGCCCACAACACCCCCTGCTTTTCACATGGTTAATTTTACACTTTTTTCCGTATCTCTTAACCGTTTGACTGTCGCGGCCGTATATATACGTCTTACGAGGTACCGTGTTTGACGTATATATACTCATAAATTCTAGCGGCTTCAAATCAAGCAGGAGAAAGCTGGAAGGCCCACATGTGAGAGAATGGGTCTGTGTGGTCAGTGTGCACCATATAAAAAAAATCCTGGAGCATGCAGTGCATAATGAGAAAAAAAAAACTCAGACCGTTTTTTTTTTTACTTAAAATGCCGACTTTGTGGTCTATTTTCGTTTTCTTGGTCTCATTTGATAGAATGGAAAACATATTATAGAATTAGAGGTGATTTTGATTGATTTTACTATAAAAAGAACCTAGAAATGGAGCTCAAAGTAGGGGAAATGTTTGATTTTTGCCAATGTTCAAAAGTAAACAAATGATGCCATTGTCCAATAAATGTCCAACTAGCCATTCTAATATGCAGTCATGAATGGGTTGATGTTATTTTTACAATTATTACAGTATTGCAGTAGTCTGCATAATAGTAAGTCTTCTATTTTTTGTTTGAATAAAAATTCAAAATAGAAAGCAAGAGTAAATTCAGAGGGGCCTGGAGACATGACTGATGAGTAAAGAAAATGTTATTTTAGAGCCAGGAATGTCTGCATTGTTCATTTTGGGCCTTATTTTGAAATTGTCATATTTTTTAGTTTTCGTGAAATTGGCCAAATTGCAAATTTCTGACCACATTATTAGGTAGTTGAAATCGGTAAATGGGCAGTTTCTTGTACTCAATCGATAGACAAAATGGAGTTCTAAAGAAATATCTATGAGTTTGGGCGACTGGAACAATGAAGTTAGCCGAAAATAGGGCTCAAAGTGGGCGAAATCGCCGATTTGTAAACAGCGCCGAGGTCGCTAACTTCGCGAGATCATAATTCCGTCAGTTTTCCATCAAATTTCGCTTTTTTGGTGTCATTACAATCGGGAAAAGATTCTCTATCATTTCATAAGAAAAAATATTTTGTTTTTTTTAAATTTTGCGACACCAGGAGACACCTCAGGATTGGGGGTTGCGACAGTCAAAGGGTTAATCCAGTACGTTATTATGGCAGTGTGCAGATTTGGGACATGGCCCTTGAGTACTTACCAGGTGCAGCTGCTCCTGGTTACAGTCCGATGAACCCATCATATGTTGAAAATATCTCAAGCTGAATATGAATATGATACAAATAAATAACTTCTGCTGTCACTGAATAAGTAAATAAACCAATAATTACTCTAACTTCTGCTGTCACTGAATAAGTAAATAAACCAATAATTACTCTAACTAAACACTACCAGTATTGTTTTAACAACAACATTCTTTCACCTGGTTACCTGGAGGTTATTCCGGGGATCAACGCCCCCGCGGCCCGGTCCATGACCAGGCCTCCCGGTGGATCAGGGCCTGATCAACTAGGCTGTTACTGCTGGCCGCACGCAGTCCAACGTACGAGCCACAGCCCGGCTGATCCGGCACTGACTTTAGGTATCTGTCCAGCTCTCTCTTGAAGGCAGCCAGGGGTTTATTGGCAATTCCCCTAATGCTTGATGGGAGGCTGTTGAACAGTCTTGGGCCCCGGACACTTATGGTGTTTTCCCTTAGTGTACCAATGGCACCCCTACTTTTTAATGGGGGCATTTTGCATCGCCTGCCCAGTCTTTTACTTTCGTAGGGAGTGATTTCTGTGTGCAGATTTGGGACCATTCCTTCCAAGATTTTCCAAGTGTAGATTATGATATATCTCTCCCTCCTGCGTTCCAACGAGTACAAGTCAAGTGCTTCCAAACGTTCCCAGTAGTTAAGGTGCTTGACAGAACTTATACGTGCAGTAAAAGATCTCTGTACACTCTCTAGATCTGCGATTTCACCTGCTTTGAATGGAGATGTTAATGTACAGCAGTATTCCAGCCTAGAGAGAACAAGTGATTTGAAAAGGATCACCATTGGTTTGGCATCTCTCGTTTTGAACGTTCTCATTATCCATCCTATCATTTTCTTTGCCCGTACGATCGTGGCACTGTTGTGATCCTTGAAAGTGAGATCCTCAGACATTACTACTCCCAGGTCCCTTACATTATTTTTCCGCTCTATTGTATGGCCGGAGTCAGTAGTATACTCTGTTCTAGTTATTATCTCCTCCAGTTTTCCATAACGGAGTAGTTGGAATTTGTCCTCATTGAACATCATATTGTTTACCGTTGCCCACTGGAAAACTTTGTTTATATCTTCTTGGAGGTTAACCGTGTCCTCAGCAGATGACAGCCTCATGCAGATCCTAGTATCATCCGCAAAGGATGATACGGTGCTGTCAAATGAATTGCAGGTTATAGGAGACCACGTGAGAGGTTATAAAGTCAAACCGAAGAAATCGGAAGAAATCAATTATACAGGCTTATATATATATATATATAGACAAACAGTGCAGGAATTATCTCTGTTAAGAAAGTCAAAATAACCCCAAAAATCTGCCAAAAGAAAATCCAAATGTGTCGGTAACATTTTCTGGGGTAGTTACAAATATGTAGAGATTGGCAAGATCAATGGTACATGTAACTGCAACCATGCCAGGAAATGCTGCACTCTCAAACTAAAGGCACATGTTTCATGATCTGCAAATATTTTCACCCTAAAAGATGTTTATAGTTGGCTAAATAAGGAAGTGTCCTACATTACTTACAAGGGGAAAAGAAGAACTGAATCTCGAGAACGTCAGACTGACCGAGACAATTACAACCATTCTGACCATGGTAATTACAGCTATACTGACCATGGCAATTACATCCATAATGACCATGGCCATTACATCCATAATGACCATGGCAATTACATCCATAATGACCACAGATTTATTATGTAGAAAGGGAAAATGTATGGAAAGAAATGACAAAAACTGAAGTCAATGATACAGGAAAGAAGAACCGGGGAAAGGAGATATGGTAACGTACAAGATGGAACATTAAAATGGTATAAAATACCGACAGGTTGTTAAGTAAGACACACATGCAACAGCCAGGTATCTACCTTGAAACGTCGTCTTCAAGTCTCTTCTGCTTCTATCAACTTTTCTGTACTCGACTGAAGAAGCCTACTGTGTAGGCGAAACGTTTCAAAATAAAGATACCCAACTGTTGCACACGTGTCTCACTTAACAACATACAAGATACACAAGAGGACTTGATAAGAGCAGACAAAGACAGCCGTTTGAAAGGCAGGGACCAAGAACAAGGATACACACTACAGGGATATCAGGAAGAATTTCAGCCTCATGGTGGAATGACCTAGATGAGATTATGGAATCAAAACAGCTTACACAGTTTAAAGGATACATACAACACGGCCTACAAGGGGAGGAATCTTGTGAAACTAGTCGTATGAGTAAGGTGAAACTTGACCCCTGAAACCACAAATAGGTGAGAGACACACACAAATAATAATCATTCCTAGTATGGCTAATGAAGAGAAAATGACCATTATTTGGAATTATGATAAAATATGTCAAGTGAAGGTGACGCGAGACTGCGAACCCGCAGAGAACCACAAGCTGACAACAATGTGCAGAGAACCACAAGCTGACAACACTGTGCAGACAACCACAAGCTGACAACACTGTGCAGACAACCACAAGCTGACAACACTGTGCAGACAACCACAAGCTGACAACACTGTGCAGACAACCACAAGCTGACAACACTGTGCAGACAACCACAAGCTGACAACACTGTGCAGACAACCACAAGCTGACAACACTGTGCAGACAACCACAAGCTGACAACACTGTGCAGACAACCACAAGCTGACAACACTGTGCAGACAACCACAAGCTGACAACACTGTGCAGACAACCACAAGCTGACAACACTGTGCAGACAACCACAAGCTGACAACACTGTGCAGACAACCACAAGCTGACAACACTGTGCAGACAACCACAAGCTGACAACACTGTGCAGACAACCACAAGCTGACAACACTGTGCAGACAACCACAAGCTGACAACACTGTGCAGACAACCACAAGCTGACAACACTGTGCAGACAACCACAAGCTGACAAACACTGTGCAGACAACCACAAGCTGACAACACTGTGCAGACAACCACAAGCTGACAACACTGTGCAGACAACCACAAGCTGACAACACTGTGCAGACAACCACAAGCTGACAACACTGTGCAGACAACCACAAGCTGACAACACTGTGCAGAGAACCACAAGCTGACAACACTGTGCAGAGAACCACAAGCTGACAACACTGTGCAGAGAACCACAAGCTGACAACACTGTGCAGAGAACCACAAGCTGACAACACTGTGCAGAGAACCACAAGCTGACAACACTGTGCAGAGAACCACAAGCTGACAACACTGTGCAGAGAACCACAAGCTGACAACACTGTGCAGAGAACCACAAGCTGACAACACTGTGCAGAGAACCACAAGCTGACAACACTGTGCAGAGAACCACAAGCTGACAACACTGTGCAGAGAACCACAAGCTGACAACACTGTGCAGAGAACCACAAGCTGACAACACTGTGCAGAGAACCACAAGCTGACAACACTGTGCAGAGAACCACAAGCTGACAACACTGTGCAGAGAACCACAAGCTGACAACACTGTGCAGAGAACCACAAGCTGACAACGCTGTGCAGAGAACCACAAGCTGACAACACTGTGCAGAGAACCACAAGCTGACAACACTGTGCAGAGAACCACAAGCTGACAACACTGTGCAGAGAACCACAAGCTGACAACACTGTGCAGAGAACCACAAGCTGACAACACTGTGCAGAGAACCACAAGCTGACAACACTGTGCAGAGAACCACAAGCTGACAACGCTGTGCAGAGAACCACAAGCTGACAACACTGTGCAGAGAACCACAAGCTGACAACACTGTGCAGAGAACCACAAGCTGACAACACTGTGCAGAGAACCACAAGCTGACAACACTGTGCAGAGAACCACAAGCTGACAACACTGTGCAGAGAACCACAAGCTGACAACACTGTGCAGAGAACCACAAGCTGACAACACTGTGCAGAGAACCACAAGCTGACAACACTGTGCAGACAACCACAAGCTGACAACACTGTGCAGACAACCACAAGCTGACAACACTGTGCAGACAACCACAAGCTGACAACACTGTGCTGACAACACTGTGCAGAGAACCACAAGCTGACAACACTGTGCAGAGAACCACAAGCTGACAACACTGTGCAGAGAACCACAAGCTGACAACACTGTGCAGAGAACCACAAGCTGACAACAACACATGAGCAAAACGTATGTAATAAATTTTCCATATACTATAGTTAAATTTGTCTCTCCTTATTATCGTGTGATTATCAAATAACATTATATTATGAACCAGGCTTCCCTCTCAACCTTTTCTTTTTATCAACGCATATAAAAACATACAAAATATATAAAGTTACACATACACACTGTTGCAGTTTAAAAAAACTGTAGTGTAAAGCACCCTTCTGGCAAGACAGTGATGGAGTGAATGATGGTGAAAGTTTTTCTTTTTTTCGGGAATAAAATAGTTCGAAAACCAGTCTTCAAACATTACTAATGTCATCTAGGCTTTCTTGTTATGGTAATAATATATGTGAAGCATATGCTTGCTCACATTCTTGAATGCTGGGGGGTTCCTGGAGTGGGAGATTAGGAAAGGTTTCAGTTTAAAACCTGCAGCATTTCCACCCAGAAGCAGCATAACACAATCTTTGAATGCCTTGAATCCAAGCATCGTATAGTCAAAATATCTAAAGTTGAACCATCGTGAAGCTAGGAGCATCTGTACATATTATCATGCATCTCTTTTTTTCTCCACTCCAGTGAGGACATATTTAAGACTTTAAGGCTTTCCCAGTAATTCAAATGCTTTATTGGCACTGTGCAGGTCACAAATGACCTCTGTATCTGTTCCAGCTCTGATATTTCTCCTGCCCTGAATGGGGCCAAAGTATTGGTGTGCCAGAGTGTTGGTATCAGTAAGTATCAGCTAATTTTGGCGATACTGGTACTAGCCTAAAATTGAGTACTGGTGGGTATCAACTCATTTTGATGATATCAATATCAGTATGAGTGGGTACTAGCTAGTTTTGTTGGCATCGGTATGAATACGGGTGGGTATTGGCTAAAACCCAGTGTCAGTATCAGCAAAATTAGCTATCATCCCATTCCTATCCAGGACTATCATTTAATATTAGCTACATGAATCTAGTATACATGGTAGAGTTCCATGGAAAAATCTTCTGCAGGCTCAGCAGAGAGAGAAGTTTGCATTCACCAAAATACATCTGAATGACCCAAGTTGGTTGGGAACAAGTTTGGAGGTTGGTTTGGATAAAAAAAAAAAAATTAATGTATGTGATGGGCAAACCAGTGGTGTACTTTATCTGGCTCAAAATATGTACCACAGTAAGTTGTGTCAAGAAGAATATATCCACCCTAACCTGGAGTATACATGGAGAGGGTTTTGGGGGTCAATGCCCTCACAGCTTGGTCTGAGACCAGGCCTTGTAGTGGATCAGGGTCTGATCAACCAGGCTGTTACTGCTGGCCACTCGAAAACTGACGTACGAACCACAGCCCACCTGGTCAGGTACTGACTTTATGTGCCTGTCCAGCGCCTTCTTGAAGACAGCCAGAGGTCTATTGGTAATCCCCCTTATGTATGCTGGGAGGCAGTTGAACAGTCTTGGGCCCCAGACACTTATTGTGTTGTTTCTCAGTGTACTCGTGGCGCCCCTGCTTTTTATTGGGGGAATGTTGCATCTCCTGCCGAATCTTTGGTTTTCATGGGGAGTGATTTTCGTTTGCAAGTTTGGTACTAATTCCTCTAGGATTTTCCAAGTGTATATTATCATTTCTCTCTCTTGCCTACATTCCAGGGAATACAAATGAAGGGATTTGAACTGTTCCCAGTAATTTAGGTGCCTTATCATTCTTACATGTGCCGTGAATGTTCTTTGTACACTCTCCAGGTCAGCAATTTCGCCTGCCTTGATGGGGCCTATTAGTGTACAGCAGTATTCCAGCCTAGAGAGAACAAGCGGTTTGAAGAGAATCATCATGAGCTTGGCGTCCCTAGTTTTGAAGGTTCTCATTATTCATCCTATCATTTTCCTAGCAGATGTGGTAGATACATTGTTGTGGTTTTTGAAGGCGAGATCCTCTGACATTATCACTCCCATGTCCTTCACATTACTTTTTTGCTCTATTATATGGTTAGAATTTGTTGTATACCCTGATACAATTTTAATTTCCTCAAGTTTTCCATATCTGAGTAGATGAAATTTCTCTTCATTGAACTTCATACTGTTTTGAGTGGCCCATTTGAAGATTTGGTTGATGTCCACTTGGAGTCTTTCGTTGTCTTCGATGGAGGTCACTGTCATGGCAATTCGGGCGTCATCCACAAACGAAGACACGGAGCTATGGCTTACATCTTTATGTCAGATATGAGGATGAGTGTGACAAGTTTTTCTTTCTTTTTGGGAGCAAGGGGCTAGTAACCCCTTCTCCTGTATAAATTACTAAATTTAAAAAGAGAAACTTTTGTTTTTCTTTTTGGGCCACCCTGCCTTGGTGGGATACGGCCGGTTTGTTGAAAGAAGAAAGATTAGGGGTTACTAACTTTTTGCTCCTGGCATTTTAGTCGCCTCTTACGACATGTATGGCTTACAGAGGAAGGATGCCTTTTCCGCATCTCCATGGATATCCACTCAAATTGTAACTGTAAAAAGAATTAAATTTGTTTTGCTTTAAAGCTATTTTCCCATCCTTCAGTCCTAATGCTCTTCTCAGAAGATTCCTCTCA